ATCGTGTCACAAATAGATATGTGCATTTGTTTCATGATCTGCTTAACAATAGCGGAATGATGGCCATTTTAAGGTCGAAAATGCATCAAAATCACGTATTTTCACAATTCCAGAACCGGATCTCAGTCATGCATGGATGGATTTTGTTCAGATTTAGCACAATGTGTTGTACATATGCAGGTGCATTTCGGTCATGATCAGCTTTGAATGTATATGTCACTCAAACATGAACGGATCGGGGACGTGTCATTGACAATGACTTGTTAATTTTTTGAACTTTCAGTCAGATGAGGAAAGTTCGACTGCCATGGAAACTGAAGATGGTCAGCCAAGATATGTTGCTCATGTGCCAGTTCCTTCCCAAAAAGAGGTTAGTGTAACAATGATACATATGAGCTAATTTATATTTCTAATATAGAAATAATTATAAGTAATTTAGACCTTATGCATGACCTCTTAAAGGTCACACATCCTGGTACCTAAAGGTCACACATCCTGCTATCTAAAGGACTCGCATTTTAGCACTTAGTACTGAGAAATTCACTATGGAGTTGTTCAATTGTTTTCCAAATGAAATGCAAACAGTTACCACAGAAGTTCAAAAACTGTTAAACCTAGCAAAATTCCCAATTCTCGAATTGTTCAAAAGATTTTTAAAAGTTGAATACTTGACAATATCCAGGTAAGGGCCAGGATGTGTGACCTTTAGGGTCATGTATAAGGTCATTTCACAATGACAAATAAATATGATGAATTACATTTATTTTTCTGTGGTTTAATTTTGTTTTCCTTTCAGGTTGAAGAAGCGTTACTTCGGAGAAAGAAAATGGAACTCTTAGGAAAATATGCCAGTGATAGTCTCATTCAACAAAGTGACGAAGCAAAGGCACTGCTAGGACTCTGAAGATGTGTGTTGATCACAGTTTTTGTGTCCATTTGATGAAGATCTAACCAAAACCAACGAGTTGTTGTTTTACATGTGGTAAACCTCAAAGGTTCATAGCTGTACTCAGAACACTCCCTGATTTAATATATTGCCAAGGTTATCTAAGTAACTTATACAAAGTGGTATATTAATATACCGGTTTATTTAAGTGCAGTGGTTTATTATTATTATTATACCATCTTGGTGAATATCATCATTATTCTTGTATGATAGTTGGCATTGTAGTCATTCATAGCCAATGGAGAAAGCCGTCCATCATACAAGATTGAGAGAGTCTTACGGTGACCGAAATTTCACATTGACTACGCTCATTTCATGACATGTGACTGGAAGAATATACTGCATACGCTAGTATCATTACCAGTGTGTATATAAATATTCTGTAGTATATATGAGTTACCCTACTATATACTATATATATATAAAGTGGTGTACAGTATCGCATTAAGTGTGTAATAATCATGCTATAATAATACTCAGCACAGCATATCAATTCCTCCAAACCAAAGTGGTGTTTTTAAAATATACTATGTCCTGTATAGTTATAGTTATCCCTGCATCACATGGTCCTGTACAGTGTATATTTGAAATACACCATGGGCCCTGGTGGATCACTCCAACGGAACTAAGTGATGTGAAGAAGTTGTATCAACCACATTCCCTTTTAGGTGCTTGTATATGGCATAAGAATTAACTGAAGTCTTGGCATTAAAGTTATTTTAACTATGTCTTACACTGGGGTATTGCATGAATGCAATAATTCTTCATAATTGAATTATAAATGCTGGTGGTATATGCAGCAATCTAACGATACTTAACCAATGCATCCTTTTATATATTGGTATCTCTGCTCGGCTAGAATAAAATCCAGTGAAGGAAGTCGAAAATACAGTAAGCAGTAGGCATATCACTGAAATCTATGGGAATCTGGTATGACCTTTGTGGCTATTATATTTGGGCGGGGGGGCATATACTTTTTACAGAAGCAAGACATTTCATTTGTAATAAAAGATTTGTACATATATGTGTAATAAACTTTTTACTACCATTCTAGTATTTTGTACAAAGTGTGAATGTACATTACCTGTTGTTTCTGCTGGTTTATTTGTGTAAATCATTAAGGAATCAGAGTCCCCCTTTTACAGGATATTAAAGGGACTGTCATTGGAACAGATTCTCCATGATCTACATGCAGATATACTGTGGAATACTTTATTTTCGCTGGAATTAATTTTCGCTGAAAAGGCTTTTTGGGCATTTTGTATGGAATTTATTTTCACTGATTTTTGATGAGTTCAATGTGAAATATAGGAAAAAAAGTATATTCACTGGATTTTATTTTCACTGAATCATCCCTTCAGCGAAAATAGCGAAAATAAATTCCAAGCTAAAAATAAAGTATTCTACAGTACTATTACTGATAGTTTTGCTATGTTTACACCTTATGGTCACTTATGTACCAGATGTGCACTTTTATCATGTGATGCTTGATGACAGAATATAACAAAGGTCAAAATGTGGATGCAAAACACGGTATGGTTGATTGTACTACTAACTTGCCAAGAGCTTACACATGAAAAAGGAGCCTTGAATCTCAGAAACTAGCACTTTATATAAGTGCATTACGAAAGGGATAGATAAATACAAATTAGTAAATTGCGCAGGGAGAAAAAAGATGCAATCACCTGGACGGCTAAGATGATTAGTGACAAATATCTAAGCACTCATTGGCTGAAAGTAAATAATTCTCATTAGTCAAGAGCTATTAAGTACCTATTGATAAACGAATTAACTATCATACCAGAAAGAAATGCAAATTAGAATAGTTATTGATAGTAATATTAAACGAATACAACTTTATTCGGAAATGTTGGACATTCATGAAATATACAAGACCCCGTCGGTTAACAAAGTTGTGTTTCAATCACCTGGTAAATCTTAATCAGTTTAATAACAAGTTTGTATGCTCTAAATCTGCATGAAGTGTGTGGTTTAATATATGCAGGATTTACGTTAAAGGGCGCAGTCTCCTCAAAGTTGTCGTGCGTTAGATAGTTCAGTTGTCACATACATTTTTTTCCACTTTTTGTAGTGCATGTTTTCAGGAGAAACAATTGCTGAAAATGACCATGCGTAGTGAGATAATTTAAGCCTAAATTTGAAGGTTGGTTGTGACAGGTATTATTGTGGGCAGGGATTAGGCGTCGTCGTTGTAGTGTCAAATCATCGGCAGACACAAAGATATGTTAAGAGAATTTCCACGCTTAATAAATTAATGTGCAATGAACTTTCAATTTGGAAATCAAACATTTCTGTCATCAGAACCGTAATTCAGTCGTGTATTTTATTTTTGTTTTTCATATCGGATTCGAAATGGGCGAGTAATGAATGCTGTTTGGGAGCCATATCTCTGACATGCGTTGACCAACCATTTTCATGGCTTCATAAATACATGAATGTCACGCATATGTCATCCGTATTTATTTGACAATCGAATTCGAGATATTAAAACGGCATCATAATCGAGCATTGTTGCCATCGAGGACAGCTACTGTTCGGACCTCAGACTAATATAATTCCATATTAGTCACGGTCTGAGTTCAGACTTGATACCGTGACCAAATGACCGATTCAAATTAAGAAATTTATCCCGAGTATATATACATGTGTGCAAACTAAATTCCATATTATATTAACCTTTCTCACATAGAATTAAAGGACACAAAGATGCCATTTAACACATTACATATTTAAAGGGTGGCGGTCGTCGCGCCGCACTTGCGACATTTGTGTTGATAAACATTGATTTCCCCGCAGACCAATACAATACGCTCTTCTAATGTAAATCACTTATACAAGTTTTGACCTGGTTATAATAATAATTGTTTATTGCATCTTTAAAATACACATTTCTTTCACCATATAGTAACAGAAATATTATTCAATATACTGTGATACGCATAAAGTAGAAGATAAAAAGCATTTACTCTGTTTGTCCAGTCGATAAGTATTGTTCATAACAAAAATATTGCTTGAATTTTTAGTATGCACGTAATTTGCTGTCATCCTTCATAATGTTTGATCGATATTGATCGGTGTATTTTTGTTTCATTTGACATTACACTTTGTTTTAGGAGTTTGAGTCTATTATACAATGAATTCTGATTAATTTCTGGCAACATGCCTTTTATTATTGGCATCCAAATATAATTTTTTTGTGGACTTTTTTTTTGTTCATTGTACATATGTATGCCCATTTTGTTATATTGTCTTCTGGAAGTCCCCGTAGTCTTAACCAATATTTAAACATGGAAATGAATAACTACCAATATCACTTCTACAAGCTGCATTGTTAAGCATATTTGTTTAGTCCTAGAATTTTTTTACAGTATTTAAGATACATTTTTTCAATATCACTGCCATATGCTTTTGTAAAATTTCCTGATGATGTCATCGATATTCCAAGGTAGGTGTAGCTTGTAACGCAATTAATGTTTTTATTTTCATAGTTGCATGTGTCTGATGTTTTCAGTGATGTTTTACTAAATATCCCGCCTTTCGTTTTAGACAAGTTAATTTCTAGTTTCCATTTATATATGAGACCCATGTCTCGCGCACGCATTTTAACAGACTCAGTTTTCGGCTGAGTTTTTGCAGCAGAATTTATTAGCATGTATGAGCCCATATTTTAGAGTGGTATACAATGACAATATCATGACAAACTATGTATATCATTTATAATCGTTCCAGTATCAGTCTACAATATTTGAGGATATTTTTGTTGACTGCCAAACTGTCAAATGATATCCTCAGCTCCATGCCAGTGGACAACTTTCAGTTGAAAACACACTACTAATTAAAAACTAAATACATGCCATATTACTAGTCAGAAACCTGTCATAAAATTGAATGGAAACATACTACCATCGACTTGGCATTTCATGGAGACGTTGGACGAAGTGACAGTGTTGTAAGAAGCGGCTTTGTGGTTTTCACGAACTGAACACGTGCCAGTGCGAAATGATTTGGAACGAAGTGGTACGAAATGACCAAGTGGTACGAAGTAACCTTTTACGTACTAGATTTGGTACGAATTGAATGCATCCCTTGTAAGCACTGCTTCGATGT